ATTTTGATGTTAATCAACTAGAGGAAATTCAGTGCCGGTGGTGTGCTGGTATATGTTTAACAGCGAGCTCTGGGCAGGGGTGGGGGGGTGGGGGGGAGTGGGCAGCCCTCTGATTCACGGTGTTTGCCAATTTCTGTGATGTAAATACACCACCAGGCTAAACCAACATGATGTCACTGCTTGTGGAGTTAGGGAGAGATGTGCACAGTCGCTCTTGCTGTGTCACAGACTGCAGTATACCACCTGATTTTTCCTCCTGTAACTTGGATTTTGCTACTCATTAGGCTAGTGTCATATTGTTTATGAAAAAAAACTGAAATTTACACGAACACCTTGTTTTCCCTAAAATTGTTCTCACCGTTCAGGCAGGAACTTCCGTCATGAAAGTGTGTGATTCCCCAGGGATCTAAAGAAACCCCCGAGGCCCAGAGTAAATGCTGAAGGCAGATGCTAAGCCTGCAGGTAAACGTCCTGACACCTGACAAAGAGGCCGGACCAGGCAGTGTGGGTCCGTTGAAGGAGAAGCCGAGCACGTTCTCCCGCGGGGATGAAACCGCGTTGTCGCGGCTCCAGGTGGGCAGGAGCAGAGGCATTGCTACCCGCTCATCAGCACAGCAAACATTCTACCCACGGAGCAGAGTCACTGCACAAACTCCTATACACGGACCGGGCAGCCCCTCCGGAGCCCATCTCAGTGACAAGCGAGTAACAGGAGAAAGTCACTGGTGTGTGCCCAAGTTTTTCTCCAAAGTAGTTTGAAAGAATTTAGCTACACTAACCTAGGTCAACCGTCAACCACAGTGCCCCAAATTCCTCTCGTGGCTTTGACCCCACCTGGGGACAGAATACCTCAGATGAATTTGTAGCAAGTTAGATATTTACTAACATTCATTTTCTTATTTATGAAGATTTTTTATGGCCTTTCTGTGTAGCTAAGATTCACTCTTATAGAACTAGTCGGCACCTGTCCTAAAATCGTTTTAGGATAAGGCTGAGGTCATAAATTTGCAGCTACTCAGCAGCAACCTCTGTTGTCATGGAAGCTGAGACTATTGATGGCAGGTCCCCTACAGGTAGTTTTCCTACATTCTGACTCATGTCCTAGGGGCTTTTATACTCACTGTGACAAGATCTACCCCGCAGCTGTCTGCAGGGCCCTCCCCTTTCTTGGAAATAACCCCCATTTCATATGATTCATCCTTTGTATCTTCTCCGTTCCTATGATATGCAGACACGGTGCCAGTAACGAACCCTGAGGATGAGTGTCAACAGGCCTGTCTGACCCCGTGCAGTTTTGAGATGGGAGGGGTTTTACCCACGATGGTGCCGTCCGTGGACATGTGACAACCGGGACTGGACCCACATACTCGGGAGGAGCTGTGGCTCTGGAGACAGGCTTCCTGGATTGGAATTCCCACTTCCTCTCTCGCCAGCTGTGTGATACTGAGAAAATCACTTAACCTCTCTGAGCCCCCCTTTCCTCCTGTATAAAATGGGGAAACCTTAACGAGGGCTGCTCTGAGAATATCCTCAGAAAGCATGTAGAACAGTTTCTCGAACACAGTACACCATAAATGCTAGCTTTCATTATTATAAATCAGATATGCAGATGAATTAAGAACAGATATGTAAGCATATATGATGGCACTCAATTCACATATTTTTTTTTTTCTGCTATATTCTGCTTCTGGAAGGAGTTCACATCAGTGGTTCGGACTGATGGGTTTGGGCGGGGGGTGGGGGGGGAGTGGGCAGCCCTCTGATTCGCGGTTTAAAATGGGGTCATTCTGGTGGGAGTGGATTCGGCTCTCACGCCTTCTGGAAAATGTGTGCCGACCAGGGCATTCTCTCCGCCCCTTCACGAGGACAGACTAGGAAGAAGTTCGTAACTCACATCTTTCTCTTCAAATTTTCACTTCTCAATACAACTTCCCTATTTATGTTATAATTCTTCATCTTCACCCAGAACTGTCCTCCCCACACTAGCTAATTTTGCTATAAAAGAAAAAAATATTAGCTCCTTAACGAGGCCCCAGTAATCTGGCCTTCTGTTTACTTCTCACCACCACTTTGATACTCTTGCCACACCTGAAGAGTCACCCTAAGTCATCATGTGTCTTCATTTGCTCACTTATTAATTTATCCTTTTCATTCAAGTTTTTCATACTTGCTTACCCCATGCCAGCAACTTCGCTAGGTATTAGGGATTAAGGACTTTTTTAAATGCATAAGCTTGTTTGCATTTGTAGAAAATGAGCCCAACATGCACACGAAGAGCAGAGAGGAGATATAAGTTCAAAAAGAGAGTGAGCTCCAGGGATGCTGAATTTTTGTCCCAGTCCTTGAGACCATGGTTCCTGGTGTCAAAGGTCTTTCACTTCCACAGGTGGCCATCAATGGAATGGCCAATGGAATCCCTGTTCGGTTCTAGCAGGTTTCAGTTGGGAATCTGCCGTTTTCAGCTGAAAGAGTTCTGACTGACACGCCCGCCACCTTAAGAACCCTGGTGTACACGCTAAAGCGATGTAAGGAGAGATTTTAAGACGCAGAATGTCTCTAAATAGATCACAATATTTTTATGGCTCAACAGCACATTAAAAAAGCAGTCCAATGGGCTGTACAGCAGATGGACTCCAGGGAGACCATCTAGGCACCTATTACGCTGTTCAGAATCTAACACTTCCTCCTTAAAGCATTTCTGACGCCTGGAGCAGTCCGCCGAGGCCCAGCTCCTGGGGCGCCCCCTCTGCAGGGCCTTTCTGGTCCCACTCACTGGTGTGACGACCCCTCTGTTCTGCCTGCCTGCAGCATGCACTCGTACCTCCGACCCCGGGGCTCTTGTCCGAGCTGGTATCAGAATCACCGGGAGGGCTTGTTAAAACTAGGTGCCTGGGCCCCACTCAGTCTATGACTCAGTGGATCTGGGTGGGACCCGAACATTCTAGCAAGTTCCCAGGGAACGCAGATGCTACTCTAACAGGTTTCGTTCACTGTGGCTGTCTTCTGGTTTGCTCGCTCATGCGCATCCCCTGCGAGATTAAAAGTTCCTTAGGGGTCTTCTTATTCATAAGTATTTTCTTATTCTTATTTCTTTGTAAAACTCTCAGTAGCGAACAAAACACTTTATACAAAACTGGTATTGGATATGCATCACTGTGATTTAACTGGAGATATGACAAACATCTTACCATAATAAATTCCCTCAGTTGCTATCCAGATTCCCTTAGAAGATGGAGAAAAGATGGAAAGAAAGGCCTTAGAAAGAATATAGCCTGACTTCTGCTGGGCTGCCTAATTTTGAAGACACCTACTGTCTGATATTTTGAAATCCCTGGGCATAAAGGACAGGGATTATTTTCAAATGTAAGAAAGCTTGAGGTGATAGGATCGTACAGAAATAAAGACTAGCATTTTTCTTGCTCCTGTATATGTTTCTATTTCTTCTTGATTCAACGGACCTCTGACAGCACAGGGAGAAAACATTTCAAGCATTTTTTTCATCCTAATATTTGGAAATGCTGATTAAACTGTCTTCTTTTCTAGTTATTCTGATGGCAAGATATTCTATCCCTCTAGGCTTTGTTGCCTTATAGCTATTTAAAAATATATAGGAATAAATTTAAGCAAGGAATTTAAGCAAGTAAAAGACCTGTATACTGAAAACCATAAGACACTGATGAAAAAAACTGATAAGAGAAATAAATGGGAAGATATTCCATGCTCACAGATAGGAATGAATACGTTAAAATGTCCAAACTACCCACAGCAATCAACAGTTTCAGTGCAATTCCTGTCAAAATTCCAATGGCATTTTTCACAGAAATAAAACAGACAATTCTACAATCTGTATGGAACCACAAAAGACAATGAACAGCCATAGCAATGTGTAGAAAGAAGAATAAAGCTGGAGGATCTGAAAAAACATTATGCCAAGAAGATCTACACATGGCCAATAGGTACACGAAAAGAGGCTCAGCATCACTAAATCATTAGCAAAATGCAAATTAAAACCACTGTGAGGTACCACCTCATAGCTGTTAGAAAGGCTACTCTCAAAAGACAAGAAATAACCAGTGCTGGTGAGGATGTGGAATTAATTCAGCCATGACAAAGAATGAATCTTGCCATTTGCGACAACATGGATGGACCTGAGGACATTATGCTAAGTGAGGTCAGTCAGAGAAAGACAAATACCATAGGATCTCACTTCTTTGTGGAATCTGAAAAAACAAGCTTATAAATACAGAGGACAGACTGGTGGTTGCAAAAGGTGGGGGTGCATGAAATGGACAAAGGGTCAAAAGGTACAACTTCCTGTTATAAAATAGGTAAGTCCTGGGGATGTAAAAAACAGCCTGGTGACTATAGTTAATAATACTGTACTGCATATTTAAAAGCTGCTAAGACAAAAATCATAAAAGTTCTCATCACAAGAAAAAAATCTTCTGTAACTATATGTGGTGATGGATGTTAACTAGCTTTACTGTGGTGGGTATTTCACAATACATACGAATACTGAATCATTGTGGTGTGTGTACACCTGAGACTAATAAAACTATATTAGTCAATTATCCCTCAATGAAAAAATGGAAAATAAAAACACCAGGTTCAAAAGTATTTTTTTGACCATGCCATTAAATTAGACGTTGGCAAATGGAAAATAGCACGGAGCCTGCCTTAAGCTCTGTGACATGGGGAGGCCGGTCTGCACGGCCGTCTAGGTGTTCAGATCAGGTCTCCGGTTTCTCTTTTGGAATTGACATCCTCGTCCTTATGAGAAAATGCGAGCAGCTTCTGGAATCAAACATGCCTGGAAACAATACTGTGTTTATACTTTACCTCTCTCGTCGTCTCTATATTGTGCCTCTGGTATTAGAGGGATCTTTGTAACTTAGCACACCTCCCGGTAACAGGGTAGAGTTTTAGATAGACCTGGATGCAGTATTTAAGGCATACAGAGAAAAGGATGGGGTGGGGAAGAGGCTGCAGAGGGGCATTACCGTAGGCATCCTGTGACGTTGTAGAATATATCAAAATCGAGCAAACCGTTTGCTTTGGGGTAGTCTCCTTCCGGCCACCCCGAGAAGGGTATGATGATATTCTCCGTCAGGGTAAGCAAGGCTTCTGTTACCATGAGATTCTTGAGTTTGTCATTAGAGGACAAATTCCACAGTAAACCTAGAAAAGCAAAGGAAGTGATCAGAACAGTGCCGGGCTGTGTCGAAACGGCTGCCGAGGCGCTCAGCGGAGGCCGTGCCCCACAGGGCTAAGGCAGGCAGTTAAAAAAGAACGCGTGGGGGAGGCAGCCCCTTTCCCAGCTGCAAGAACCTGTGCAGAGCTCATCAGATGGACGTGAAAGCTGCTCCGTAAGAACAATTAAATATATATACAGAGACACACACACACACACACACACAGCGCTTATGATATAAAACTACGCAGGTTTAAAATTATCAGGAACCAGGAATATGAATGAAAGCCAGAAATTCCCAAAACATTTATTGCTGTTTCTCTTGAAAGACCCTACCCTCATCTGACCTCCTCGCGGCAGTGAATTCTGGCTCACTAACAAGGAGGCTGGCGACGATCCTACTGTAACTGAGACTTTGTTACTTTTCAAGGGTCATACTTTTCTCCCTTAAATGTATGGAGAGAACACCTCCCCCTGCCTCCCGTTCCTCCTCCCTGCAACTTGCACCTGATACTGGCTCCTAATAGCGCGACAGGCCTGCAGGGAGCCTTTGCCCATGCGCACTCCTGCCCCCAGTAGGCTTATCAGTTCAGGCTTACTGGCTTCCACCCAGTGACAGACCTTATGTCTGCCTGGGGTTCATGCTGCCCACCTGCTGCATTTCTCACGTTACAGTTTGGCGGTGAAGGAGAGTCGAGAGTATTCCATCTCTCCACCAATGCGCGTGGCCTAAGCATCGTCTAAGACTCATGCCACATTGCCTCCCTTAGCTTTCCTGGTCCTCCTGAGACCTCCTGCCACCCCAATTCCCTGTTAAAGAGAAAGGCCATCCACATAAGCCAGCTCAGGAGGAAGTTAAGAGGATACTGTATTTCCCAGGGCATTTGGGAGGCAGGGGCAGACGCTGGGTACGGAGAGAAGACAAAGTGGCTTATACACTTAGAATTGTGTTTCCTACACTGTTGCCACTCGAGCACTTCCGGTTCAGTGGCAGGACCACACACCCCTTGCACGCTGCCCCAGAGACTCCCAGCAGGTAACGCTGCCAAGCCATCTTTCATACCCCAGTAAGTTCCTCAGCTCACTAGCACCCAGGGGAGAAGGCAGACAGAGGGGACAGAAAGGGGAGGGGTCTTCATTTTCTTCCCTGTTCATCCCCGAACCCCCAGCCCAGTCAATAATTCCTACTTCTTAAACGTACTGCTGTGTCTGTCTGAGGAAAGAGAGGGTGAAGGTGTACAGCACAGGCCTCCTTAGGAAAAAGCAGACAAGGCGGTCTTGGCTGAATTACAGGGTGATGATAGCACCTCCCCTGATTTTAATCACTGAAATCATGGTCTGCATGGTTAAAGCTTGGTAATTATTCAACTATACTCGTATTTGGCACATCCGTTAGGGCACACTAGGCCTAATGCAGTCTCTTGGGCTTGACCAGTTTACTTTGTGTACTAGTAAGTGCTTTCTGAAACACGAATCGAATTTCCACTGCAGCCTGCACTTAGCTTCCATTAGAGCAGCCGCGCCGCGTCCTGTGAGGACTGGGATTCTGGCTGGTGAGGCCTTTTACCTGATGAAACTAGCGCCTGGGGTCAGTCAAGAGCAGCGCCCCTCAGCCGCGGGTTTGCAGGACAATGACCTCACCTCTCCCACCGCACGGTCGGAGGTCCCGGGAGGGGGAGAGACGGAATAAAACCCCTAAGGTGGTTGGAAACAATTTAAAGGCAGGCCTGGGGTTGAGTTTTGATTACTAAGCTACAAAGGAAAGTTGAAAAGAGGGGAAAGGTTTTGGGGAAAAAAAAGCTTCTTGTTCCAAGTAAGCAAACAAATTAACAGTCTCTGCCTGCCAGAGGCTTAAAAATGTGAAGCATAATGAAATTTCCTCTTTTTAAAAAGGACCACACAGGGCACTCAAAGAAAAAGTACACCTTACAATGAAAAACAGAGAGGATTAATGTGAACAAAGGGATTGGAATTTTCTTTTAAGAGTCCAGCATCCTTTATGGCTCGGCATGCTGTTATTGCTACAGAAGTGGGGGGCTTGGGGAGCTTTAGTGTGATTTTTGTATTGTTAATACAGGATATTGTATAGAAATGTCACACCCACCACATTTCCGCAAGGCACGAAGCTAGGAAAGAGCTTAAATGTTCACTTGAGATTCAAGATTACACATACGTAGATACACCCTCACACATGTGCACAGGAAATCAACAAATGACCAAACATAAATTGGGAAAATATGTATGACAATACAAGACAAAGGGCTATTTTCCTTAATATATAGAGTTCTAATAAATCATTAAACATTCAATTACCAGTGTAAAAATTAGCCCACAGCTAAAAGATACTAGAGTTGAAAATACATAAGAATGCATGTTTTCTGGTTACTGAAGAAATGCAAATTTAACAGCTAGAGACCATTTTCTGCGGCCACAGGAGGCAAAGGCAGGCCAATGAGTGCAGAGCCTGGGGAAGGAGATTTGGGCTCGCTGCAAGCACGCGCTTCTCAGAGAGCTCGGCCGCAGCAAGCTCTGCCTGTAAGGTCCCGCGGTAACAGCAAGCTCATCCTTTATCAAGATATCAACAAGGGTTTTTTTATCCTGAAACTCAAGTGTGAGACTAGATTAGCAGTTTCCCCATCAGCCCAGTGGCAAAGACAGAATCACATCCTCCTGACTGCACCCCAAATTTACTGAGCCAGAAATCAGGGATGGATTCCAGCAATTTGTATTTTAAAAATGATTCCCATTTCTTGCATTGAGAAACTAATGAACTATGAGCCCGAATAGATGTCCTTTTCAACTAGATTCCAGATTCAGGGTTTAGGTTTTCCTGTGTCTCACCTTTACTTCTAGTCAATTTATTCAATTTATTCATAGTACCTAAATTTCTATTATTTGTTCTTTGTTGCAGCTAGTCTGCCTGCAATTTTATATCACTAAGCTCTTATTCTAGCCAAAAAGAAGGGGAACTGTATAATAGGAAGGGATATACTTTGAATAATTAGCAGCTATAAGAAAGATAATTATAACTGCATTATCCAGAAATTTATTTCAACAGTGATATTTACAAAAAATAGCTAATTAGTGAAGGGATCTTACAGATATTAAAACCCATTATTAATATTACTGGGTTGCCCTCTAGGACTGAAAATACAGTTTTTTAAGTCTACATGGCACTTCAGGTAGTGAAACTTGTAAATTTTACGGTTAAATGAATCACTATTATCTGTAGAAGGAGAATGAGCATGAGAAGAACTGGTTCTTTTTAATCTTGTTTTTCAAAGTGGTCACTGCGCAGGAGGCATGTCTTTAATGATTTCTTCTATATGGATATACTCCTTTCACCTGAGGTTTGTAACTCTTGCCTGGATTATGACACTGTTGCAAAGGCCATTTATTCTAAGTTATATATAAACCCAAGATACCCTGTTGCACATTACAACCGCAGGATAATATATGAATATTTTTAAAAGGTGCATAATGAATATTTATAGCAAATTTTTTTTGTTTTATTAAAATATAGAAATCCAATTAAGTATTTCCAGAATGCAGTATTTCCAAATAGGCAGAAGAGAGTCAAGAATCCCTGGCTTCATTCTGACCGTGACCTGTCTGTTTTACCCCAAGACAGAGCTCTACTCATTCCAGCAGGTGCTCATTACTCAGTGACCTTCAAGATGAGCCTCTGAGACTAGCGCGCACTGCTCCCATTTCCGCTGGAGCCCGCCACCACGCTCACTTGCTAAGGGAGCGGGAGCAACCTCACGAGGGGCACCTGAAGTCTTTTCATCTGAACAGAGAGGAACGTCCCTCCCAGGCTGGTACTGAACATGCCACCAGAAAAGGTCACTGACTTGACCTTCCCTCCCAGCTCTGGGGTGCTGAACTACTTAGGCATATATAGAAACAGAGGGTCAATTTTTTTATACCTTGGCCAGAACAATCAGCGTCCTGTCTGAAAGCACACTGGAGTGTCTGACCTGTGTCTGATCCGGGCGTCTCCGGCGCAGGCCCGTTGTTTACATCTGGTCAGACACGCACAGCTGAGAAACTTACAGGAGCTGCACTGTTGTTTCTGCAGTAAACATGCATGAACTATGTGGCACCCTCATATTAAGGGGGCCCCTCCTTCAAAATTCCACTGAGGGGAGGGAGGTGCTGAGAATAAAGTACTGAAGGAGGCGCATAAAGCTGTGTCAAGGGGCAGTGATACCTGAGACAGCCTCTGAAGGCTGAGAGTGCTCAGCGGGTGTCCAGGTGTGGAAAAGGATTCTAGTCCAAGACAACGGCGCAGACGAGGATACCAGGAAGGAAAACGACATGGACCAGGCCAGTAAATCCTTTAGGGTTTCAAAACCTGGGTGGCGAGGGAATGCCGCCAGTGGTCACCCAGCTCACATCATCCGATCTTTGGGCGGCATGCTACAGAGTATGGACTTTACCTTGTGGTTAACGGGGTGCACATGGGACAATACTTTCATTGTCAAAAGCAATCGTTAGGAGGAGAGGGGTGGACAGATTGGGACTTGGCAACACTGGATCTCAGAGGCCAGGTGTGAGGCTGCTTCAAGAGCGGACCAGAGAGACAGAGGGGAGAGGAAGGGCCAGAGGAGCGACGGAGGGCTCTTTGATCTGAGATTCCCAGGACAAGTCCCTTCCCAAAGAAGCGCAGAATGAGTCACCCTCTGCCCAAAAGCAGTCGGTGGAAGCCACCTGCGTTATCGCAAAACACCCAGAGAAAACTGGGCGCAAGCCTGAGCTTTGTTTCTCACTCGCTGCAGAGCTTGGGCAGTTACTTAACCCCCGAGCCTCTCACAATCGTTGATAATGCCTTAGGGAACTTTCAGGAGGAATGGGATGAAAAATGGAAACTCCTAGCTTCAGTGACCAGCACACAGTAGGGCCTCAGTAAAACGATGTCTGCAAAATAGACAAGAAACGATTCACATAATATTATGGTTGCTGCTTTGTGTTTCTACGTAAAGACATAACATCTATGTTACATCTCCAGTTTATTTCTGGCCCAGAAAGCACTTACTGAGCTCTTCTGTTAATAGAGCTAAAGGAAGTTATTTAGAAGGATTTTTATCAAACATTCAAGGATCAATTCAGTTAACATGTGATGGATACCCTCTGGTGGGGATGTTTGCTTGTACTAGAAATCCTGGGAATTGCACAATCGACCTGCATTTACCAGCTAGACTATCTAACGATAACTGGATGGTTTCTATGGTATCAACACCACAGAATGTTTCCAACTTCAGTTCCTATTGCCTAGACAAAAGTGGAAGGAGCATAGTTCAAAGGACTCTTTCCCTGACTGACACTCACATATCCACCCAAGCTTTCCAGCCACCATGAACCCTAACCTCAATCACTCTATTATCCAAGCTTCCTCTAGATGATCAGTAGCTCTTTTCGGTATGTTTGCTTTGCTACTGATGTTTACTTTTCCGAGAACAACTTTCATTCTCCTTCAAACTCCAGGCCAAAGTCTATCTCCTTTTTAAGATTCATGGTGAAATATATCTCCTTCGTGAAGTCTTTTTTTGACTGTTAAAAAGATGGTCTCTTGTGGCTGTCATTACTATATTTTAATGAAGAAAATGGTAGGTTCTAAACGTGAGGTTTGGTCTTTTTTAAAAACGACAACCATCACATAATCATGTTTTAGTAGATGTAAAACTAAAATCTGCAACGTCTCTGGACTGTGATTCCCACTTTTTGGCCCTTGAAGGCTGCCCTATAAATGTTGGCTGAATGAATGGATGAGTGAGATCACCTAATTTCCGTAGGTATTTTAACCTATAAGTCATGGATATGGTAGGAAATCTCTCATGGGACATGACTGCATGCGGGCAGAAGAGTGGCTTGGCACAGCCATTCATATGGTTTTATAAAATTAAAATATATCAAGATAGAAAAAAAGTGGTATTTTAAAATATAAATGAGTAGAGGATATAATGACAACAGTTTTATCGAAAAAATGAAAAGTGTATAATAAAGTGGGAATGGCAGAGGTATAAAATGCATTCAGTTTAAAACAATGTGTTTGCAGTACTTCCTTTTTAAATAATTAAGAACACTGTTGACTGTTAGGATTTACAAGGACTTTCCTATAGGATATATTAAAAAGAGTTAACTTCGTTGGGCCCCAGTTTCCTCATGTGAACTGAGATTTAATACCCTATAATGTCTAAAAATATCTTAAATCCTAAGGTTTCAGTGACAATTTAAAAATGAGTGTATTTCATAAATTAAGATTTAGGATTTAGGATTTCAGAAATGAAGGGACACTGAAGATAATCAAGGTTTCCCCAAAGCAACACCAAGGAGGACGGCCCTCCCCCTGTAACGTGCAGGGAGCGTCAGCAGAGACCGGGTGGTGGTGCACGGAGGCTGAGCAGAACACCAAAGAACCATTGTCTCCTGGCCAGACGCACCGTTCAGGTCAGTGGAACTAGCCTACCTTCTCCATGTTCAAGTATTGCTAAACCGGTTGCTTTAATTCTAATGATTTCCTCTTTCTAATCCACTGGGCAGAAAGGAGATACGTATTTATTCAAATCAGCAATCGAACAGAAATACGAAGTGGAGAACTGGAAAAACATATCCACCCACTCTTCTTTTTCTCTTTTTTTGGGGTGGAGGGTTAGGTGGGCTAGGGACCTGGTCTTTGGAGGGGTCCAGTGATGGGAGGATTGGAGTATACAGTTTCTGGCATTCTGACTGATCTGATTAAACTGACCCGCTACCTTAGGACACTATCTGACTCCCCAGCTCACATTGTACAGATCCAGCAGGTAGACTGTTGAATAAATAAAAATAATAGGCTGTGGTTCTTGTTGGGTTTCTCCAGAATGTTTGGACACCTGGGACAATACTGAAACCCCTCACGTCCTCAAACTACAAAGGTGCCTGTTAAGCTTTACGCAGTGTTGAATTTTCATGCAGTGAGTCAGGAAGTTGTTTTAAAAAGACGTGCAGTCAAAGGTGCAGAGAGTTTCTAATAAAAAGCATTGCAAGAGCCTCAGAGTAATTTCCCCTTCAGAAAAAAAGGAATTCAAATTTGAGTTTCAAGTCTAAGTCAGCAGCTGACTATTCCCTCACAGCCACCTCTCGGATAACCATGAGCCCATCAATCATTCGTTCCAGGAAGCTTAAGAAGAGCAGGTGACTGACACATCCGGCTAGGGCACGCTGTGCTATGCTCGTTAATACTCCATAAGCACTACCTGTTATTTGCTTTTTAGTCTCCAAATCTCTGGTTTGCTTCAGCACCTGCAGCAGCCGAGGCACCCCATTGAGTTCAGCTACTTCCAGCTTGTTGTCATTGTCCTCAAATACCAGGTTTCTCAAGGCCCCACACACGGCGCGCTGGACGTCTTCATTCTGAACTTTCAGGAGCTGCAGAAGCTTGGGGATGCCACGAAGCTGGCTGACCTGGGGAAGAAGCGGATGCGTACTTCAGATATTTATTAACTGTGATGTGGCATTAAAGGCATTCATTGTAATATGAACAAACAGACGAAGCTCACTGACGTTGACTCTAACGCCCATCCATCAACAACCGTGTGAGAGAAGGCCTGAGACTCCTTGTGGACGGTATTTGCCGGATACAAGGCAGCATCTCCCCTTGAGAAGCTTATAATAAGTTCGGGAAGACTGAAGTCTATTAAAAAACTGAAATTAAGTGATAAAGGGCGGATATGTGATAGCTAAGTGGACAGAAAGAGTTAGGTCGCAAAAGCCGTGAGCATCAACAAGATGAAGGGAACTGGAAATAGAGGAGTAAAGGGAGCTTTATGCAGGAACACCACATTACATCAACGATTTTTTTCCAGGACAGAACTTTACAGCTGATACAAACAGAACAAACCTCACCTTCATCAATGGTAGAAATAAAAATTCATTTACCACAGCCACCTCAGTAGCAATGCAAATTAACCCTAAATGCAAGTTATTTTTATGATCAACTGCTTTGAGCCTTTAAAAAGATTTATATAAATCACAGAGGCATTTTAAGTAAATAACTTAACTTTGCACTTTCTAATGCGCTATTTAGAGAATATTTCCTCCATCCAAATATGCAAGAAAGAGCATGCCACCTGTCAGAGAAAGGGTCAGAATGAGGAATAGAAAAAGAAAAACAGATGGCTTAGATTCTGAGACCTCTGGATGTTTAAGAAGAGGTTAATCAGTGGCTATCTGATAAAGATGATTCTGTATCTTGGGTTGCAAATATTATCTAAAGAAATCAAAAGGCGGTCACAGGGGTGCTGAAGAGAAATGTGAAGTCACAGAAGGGTTTTCTTTCCCATAGGCTTCCATTAGTGCCTAATTAAAAGTGTTAAGTTGGGAAAAACTTTTGGTAAAGATCTCAGTCATTTTCACCATCTCAGTGCAGACATTTTTAGGAACTAAGCTGCTGTGAAGGGGTGAAGTTTCCCTTTCAGATGACATTTATCATGAATGAATGATGCCCCAAGTGCACAACAGTTCACACTCGGGGGGAGCTGCACACCTGGTCCAGTGGCACATTGCCGATGCATCGTCAATCTCTCGCCTCCCTTTCATAGGCAGGTAAACACATTCCTTTGTTAGGACTGGGAGGAGACTAGCAAGGCAGGAATAAAAACATCAAGGCTGTCAAATCATCTAAGTACTAAAAATAATGATCGTAATAAGGATAACCATGATATAGTAACAGAAATGACAGCCCCTCCTTCCACTGTCAGCAGGAGATGAAGGCGTGGTGTTCAGAGCTTCATACACATCATCTAATTAATAGCTTGCCAAACCTCAAGAGGAAAGTCCCCCTTTGGTCCCTTTAAGGTTTCACTGGTCATAATGAGGTAGGTCCACTGATTGGATCCTCTTAGGGGAGACGTTTGCAGAACTGGCGACAACTGGGAGACTGGCCACAGTTTTGTTGGGCTATGTTCTAATATATCTGGACGATTACGTTAATAATGATAGATTTCTTAGCTGTCCAGTAAATCTGGTCCAACAGATCATCTATATGATCACTTCGTCTATTCCATTACACTACCTTAAAAGCAGAAAGGCAAATTTATTTTAAAACAGCCTGTAACTCACAAGTTTCCCTCATTCTGTCAGTTTTTATTGCGTAGTAGGTTTTAAGGTGGTTAAATTCATACCCTGTGAACAGCTGGACTAAATTTTGCCAATATCATCTAAACGTCAGATGCATAAAGAAAACTGTTTGTCCTCAAGGTACTTTGACAGCTTTAGAAATATTTTATTACTTAATTTATAATTTATAAGTTGCCTTCTTCAAAATAGGATGTGACGTGGCCTCCTGGCCACACTATACGCCAGCTGTGAAGGTGGCCCTGGTGAGAAGTGGCCCTCACTGGGGAGTGTGGGTGGCAGCCTTGTGCCCTGTTCCCCTTGCCCTGTCACCTGTATCCCCTGGGCTCTGAACCTGTGCTCCTGCCAGGGAAGAAGGAACTGCGGACACACCACGCTCACAGAAATGCTGAAATCTGGTTACAGCTCTCCTTACTGTAGAATTTTACTCCCCAGTACCTGGCACCATCACAAATTTGACAATAGATTTTAATTACTTTCATCTATTTTATCACGCAAATGGATATAGATCATATCAAATGCAAGAAGCAGATGGCATTCTCCTCACTGCATCATCACTGGTAGGACGGTGGGTGTTACACACATTAGGACCAGTATCAACCGCGCCGCTCTTACCCCTTTACATTCACGGCAGCAGCTGGGACGAGCGAGCTTGTACGCGTTTCCCAGTTACACCAAATCCTCAGGGGAGTTTGTTCCCCTTTCGAGGAAAGAAAAAAGACCCAAACTAACATGTATGTCTCGAACTGCAAGAGCCTTCTTTTGAGATGGCTTCTAAATACACGAAAGGACAGAATCACATGGAAGAATTTCAGCTTTCTCTGTGACGCCATTCTGACTCTCTTCCCTGCCAACTATAAAATATGACATGATGGGCATTTCCGGGGGCAAACAAGTAGAGGGAACAGACCGATTCCGGAGGGGCGAGGGCCCCACGGCGGCCGGCCCGCCGGGCCCGCTTCCCTTCCTGCCTGGGGTGCTCTGGTCGCTCTGCCTCCTCTGCAAAGCCCTACTCACCCTGCTCGAGCAGCCTCGCGTCACCTCCCTTGCGAAATGTCACTCTGTTTCTCTCCTTTTCCTTCATTAGAATGAATTATTCCTTGTAAATTGGTAGAAGCTTTCAGGAAGCCACTTGGCAAAATGTGTCAAAAATTTTAAAAAGATTCTCTCCTAGTAACCTTCTTTAGGAAAGAGTTTGAAATGGGGGGTAAGAAAAAAAGGAGATTCAAAGTCTCTGTTCACTCATTTTGGTGACACACCAGTCACGCAGGCAATAACACGCTCTGGGTTAACTTTTTCAGAGCAGGTGTTGCGCCACTATCTCATCTCATTCTTGCGCAACGCTGTAGTAGGACTGTTACCTCCACTTTACAGGTAGGAAGGCTGAGGCTTAGGGAGGCACAGTATCTTGCCCAGGGTCACCCAGGTAATGAGGGTGCTGGGTACAAACGCAGCCCGAGTGACTCCTGAGAGTTGACACCCCAGCAAGAAGATCAAATTTAGAAGAAGGTCTGGATCATAGAGAAGCAAAATAAAAGAAGGTAATGTGTTCATTTTTGGAAAAGCTGATGGTGAGCTCAGTGGGATGTCTGGGAAACAGATGAAGACGCGGGTCGGAGCCCAGAGGAGAGAGACGGGCTGGAGGGGCCGAGGACCAGGGCTGGGCTCACACGGGGTGGACGCCGCGGGGGCGGGGGAGGCAGGTCAGGGGGTGGTGGCAGACAGCGCAGGCCCCCAGAGAGCACGGGGGCGGGGGCCAGGAATGACCAGGTAGGGCACGGGTGGGGAGGGTGGGGATCGACGTGCCACCGAAGGGGCCTGACGGAGGAACCAGAGGGGTGGGACACGGACCAGGTGACTCCGGGCCAAAGGAAAGTTTTCAAAATAGTAGAGGGACCAGCAGGGTGAAATGCTGAGTCTTAGTCGAGTAAAATAATGAAAAGTTGTTACTGGTTTTAGAAGTTTATGAGTTAAATTTTTGATTTTCTTGAAGTATAGTTGACACGCAGTATTATATGAGTTTCAGGTGTACAACATAGTGATTCAGCATTTATATATATATATATTATAAAGTGATCACCATGGTTAAGTTAGCTACCGTCTGTCACCAAGGTTATTACACATTATTAACTGTACTCTCTATGCTATATATTGTATCCTGATTCTTATTTATTTTTAATTGAAAGTTTGTATCTTTTAATCCCCTTCCTCTATTTCCCCTACCTGCCCACCCTCAAATTTGATATTTGTGTCCAAATTATAATTGTCTTTTATACATAAATTTAAAAACTATAGCACCATGCTTAAATGAGCAGAATTTTATTTACGATCTTGGGTTATAACATCAAATTCTTAGATTTTCTACCAAGCATATATGTTTTTAGGTTTCAATGTAGTTTTTATGTTTCATTATTCTCGAAACCAGTCTCTGTTCTAGCTTTATCACTGAATAAGAGTCAAGAAGCAAGCAAAGCTTACATCCTACATAGAAGCAAAATGTTATTTTTACTCAAATTAGTAATTTAAGAGATAGTAGAAATCCAGACCAACTTGAGTAACAGAAGAAAAATTCAAGTTATTCTATATTATAAAATAAAAGCACACATAATAATATCCAATTTTTAAAAACTGGGAATAAAGATTTAAACATTTATATGATTTAGCCAAAAGAACTAATTTTTAGCTCAGTTCTCTTCATCTATATGTATAAAGAAGGTTCATTACTAGCTATATTATTTTTTAAAGTCCTTACTTATTCTTCCCATGGAACAAACATATAGGCAAAGGGTCAGTGAGAAATACCCCAAAATTATATAACACTTAAAGCTAAAAATGATCTAAATGTACAGATAGGTTTTTTAAAGCACTACCTAAAATACAGATGCTATGAATAAAACTGGTTAATTTGACTTCATAAGAATTTGTAAATCCTGCATGATAGAATATAAGATAGATAAGACTGCATTAATATTATGCATAATAGATGAAGAACTACAAATCACTAGGCAGATACAGATCTTGGTAGAAAAAAGTCAACAGATTAAAAAAGTGACAATCAACTGAAGAAATAGAAGGTAAAAAAAAAATACCAGAATGTGCTCCTCAACTTTATGATTAAAGAAATACAGGGAAAAAAAAAATCAATAAAAGTTCTTTGTCTGACTCTACTTAGCTGATCTGCAGGATAAATGGAGATTTTCCCAGATTTTCCCTCTGTGAAATCTACTTATTCCCTGAGGAACATCAAAGCTGGTAGTTTACTCTGCTGGGCTTTTGCACTCTTCACTTCCATTAGTTGAGTTACATGTTTACTAAGAATAATATAAGTT